ACTTATTTTACCTTTCCTTACTCCACCTACTATTAGGTACGTTACGGTTCGTACGAGTACTAAGTAATAGTACGTATAGTACTGTTAGTTACTACTACACACACACACACACACACACACACACACACACACATTAATGCACGTTCTGATGTACAAGCTTTTGAAGCAATGTAATACAGCTTTGTCTGTATTATAGTAATATACTGTTATAGGCAATGTAAATACGTTTTATATTACCAAGTTATTCGTATAAATTGGGTTGCTCATTAAAAAAAGTGAGAAAGATGGGGGGGGATAAAGAAAATATTGGAAAACACTCTCAACTCATGTTTTTTATTTTAAATGATGATGGTTAAGATGTATATTTTATTTTTTAAATAGTAACACTTTTAAATGATGAGAGAACATGAAGGTGTGGCATGTATTTTTTTTTCGTTTAACAGTAACACTGGAGAACAGTTGCAAGAGGCTCAGTAATAACCTTATAAACAGTGGAAAAACAGAAATATAAGTTTGTTATTAATGCTCTATAAATTTCTAAAAGTAACACTTCTAAATGCTGGCTCATAATTTTTGGAGTTGGATTTAAATAAATAGGTAAAATTTCCATAATAAGTTATATTGTTTTCTAGGTAAATACAGTAACCTGTATCTACTAACCTACTATTCTGCTGTAGTAGATGAAATGTACTTACCAGATATTTGTACTGAAATATTAAAAACATCAGGTGTGTCTAGAGATGTATGTTGTGAAGAAACTTCTAATTAAGAATCTTCACATCTCATTTCTCTGAAAATTTAAAAACAAAAGTACATAATTTGCATTAAATGTATAATAAGAGAGCACTTTCTGTGTACTTTACACTTGCTACTAGTATAACAAAACTAATATTGACAAACTTTTAGCATGTTCTAAGGTCTGTATTTACATATCTAACTATATTATTGTTCTTTTTGGACTTTAGCAGATACTATATGTGCAATGGACATGAATTGAGGTTATGTTGAAATGTAATTTGTAGCAGTTATCATAAATTCTTCAAATTTATCATTGTGGTGGAACCTATAACACTGTGGGAGAGCTTTGATAATTTGCAGTGCAGTTGCATGCTTCAGTAGCTTGTGATACCCACCCACACATACATGCATGACTAGTGCTTAGCAAATACTGATGTGTCATGTCATGCATTCCAGTTTTGACCATCCATAAATGTAGGTGGGTGTGGACTCCTAACCATTTAGGACAGGTCTGGTACTCAAATGTGGCTAACAAAATAGGTTTACTTTTGTAAAAAAAAAAGTTTTACTGTCAAGTAGATTTTCTGATTGAACTTAATGTAGTTTTTTTTTCCTTCTTTGATGGTATTTCTTGCTTAACTCAAATCTTTGTAGTGACTAACCAGACTTGCACCTACATTGTACTTGAATGATTCAGCCTTAGTCTCATCATCATAGTCTATAGTAAACTTTCACATTTCTCTGTTTACTGATTTGAGTTCATTTATTGCACAAATATTTTTTTGTTTAATAGAATACAATGTTTTCCTGGTTGATGTGATTATAGTAATTCGTGATTTTTTGGTTATTCAACTGTATATATAGTAAAACTTAAAAAAAATTATTTTGTTTCATAACGTCTACGTGCAAAATTTTAAAAGGCTTAGTGACTGACTACAAAGGTCGTAACTAGAAGAGATAATTGTTTGCTTTACTTCTATATTTACTGTTCTATGTTTTATGAAAAATGAGCTTAAAAACTTATTTCTAAACAGTAATAATCTACACACACACACACACACACACACACACACACACACACACACACACACACACACACACACAC